AGAGGCCATAAACATGTTTCTTTTCACAAAATTATAAACTAGTATGCGGCACACGATGCCTCAATTCAGCCATTATTTGAGAAACATATAGCCTCCGAAAAAAGGCGTGTCAGTGTCTCCTACATATACTTGTGATTACATTTGATTTATTCATTCTCTCAAATTATTAATATTATCACGTCAGTGTTGGTGTTGTGTTTGCGGTGGCAGTGCTTCGTAAACATGTGCAACAAAAACAACTAAACCCTACAAAGGATAGTGAAGTAAAGTTTCAAACTTTTAACAAATACATGTTCAATTAGTGAATAACAAACGCAGAAACTGAAAAATCGAAGAGAAACCTAAATAGAGAAGCTTCTGAGCGGTCTCATTGGGATCCATGGAACATTCTTTAAGGACGGCGTAGATTTCGTCGTCGGTGTGCTGTTTTCCGGTGATCTCTCTGATGTCAATGATGGTATTCCGTACATTGTTGGGGATCGGAACCCTAGAGCCGCCACCACCGCCGCCGCTCATTCTTTCTATGAAACACGAGGGAGAGGGAGGGACACTACAGCTACTGCCTGTGTTTTTACAAGAGAGAGAAAACATTTACGTTCGGTATATAGTATATACCATATCATAAATCTCAAATATACGACTAAATTATTTTTTTAATTTATATTTTAATTTTATACTTTTAATTGAAATTAGGGTTACATTTTTGGTTCCGGCCGAAATCAATGTTTTAAAATCGGCTTACTCTCGCTTATCGAACCGGCTGAATCGTGAATTAAATAGTAATTGATTAAAATTAGTGTTTTAAAATTTGGACTGTTCTATTCGATCGAATCGATTAGACCGTGCATCGAAGGATAGAGTGATCCGATAAGATTATCAAATCAAAGTTATAATTGTTCGGATGAAAATCGATGTAATCTGGCTGATTCACTGATCAGACTAGTGAATCGGTGGATTTCTTGATCCAACTGATTGTTTTTTATGATTATTTTTTAATTTAATTATAATTTTGATCTTTTATTTTATTTTTCTTAAGTTTTGGTGTTCGGATTTTAAAATCTAATTTTATTAATATTTATAATTATATTAGTTATTTATAATAATTAAATAATATTAAAATTATAAAAATAAAATTTCATCAAATTTTAAGAATCGGACCGGTAATCTTTTAAAATTATTAGAATCATAGTTTTAACAATTATACATAAAAAAATATTATGTTTAATTTGATTAAAGAGAAGAGAGTTACATATCTTATAATTACAACACTTCTTTCTAATGCATTCTCATTAAATTTATAAATTACTAATTACATAATATAGTAATATAATAAATTTAAAAAATTAGAAAATTAATTATATAATATAATTAATAAAAGTTTTTTAAAAAATCATGTCATCAATGAAAAATTAAATTATATTTTCACATTTATTTTCGGTATGAATCTCATCATTATTTGAAGAAAAAAAGTTTATGTTATCAAATGAAAAAGAAATTAAATTTTCACATTATTTTTAATATAAATTTTATTATTATTTTTAAGTAAAAGTCACATTAATTATAATAATTTTTCTATTTATAAATTTTTACTTTTCTATTATGTATTTTACTTTTAATTATTTATATAGAACATAATATTTGTTTATCTTCTGCATTAATTTATTAGTTTATGATATTATTATATTATATAATTATTTTTTTAACTTTTGTTAATTGATGAGCATCAACAAATTATAATATTTTGAATTTGAAATTTTATTTTAGACTGTTATTCAATTTATTTGTATGAATAAATTCATAGAATTTTCTTTTGCATATTTTATATTTGTGAAATTTATGTTAAGAATTTATTTCATGAATATTCTTTAATTTATATAAATTGAATTAGAAGGTATGTGATTCGATCGGTTACCCACTGGTCTGATAAGTAATCCAGTGATCCAGAAGCTTAATCTGATTGATGATCGGTTTAAATTTTAAAACATTTTGATTTGAATTTATTATTGAGTTGTTCATATAATTAAATTTGTGAGAATTGGGAGAATCGATCTGAATTTAAGATAGGAGTTCCTAAAAATTGAGGAGGTTGTACATATTTTTATAAGGGTCAAAACGAGAATGGTTTATAATTATTAATTAAAAAAATAACAAAATTTTAAAATAGATACTAGAAGTTAAAATATATAAATAAATATAAAATAAAAAATCTCATTAACCACAAATTTATTTTGTTCAAATAAAAACTAAAAAAATATTTATTAACCTTAACACAATTATCATTGTTCCTCTTCATAATTTGTGTCATCTTGTTGGCCTTTATCTTTCTTAGTCTCGTATTTTCTTATGTAAATTTATGTGCTTGTATGTATAAAATTTTATAGTAACTATATGATCTCGATGGTTTTGATGATGACAACATTATGATGTAAAGTCTTCATTTGAAGTTATTGAAATTCCGACACTTTAAAACAGATGTCAATACTGATGTCCCAACACCAAAATACAATATCAAGACAGATGTTAAGACATCATTTGCTGACAGAATAGTTTTACCAAACAATAAATTATGCAGAATTAAAGTACATAAGGTAAAATAACACAGATAATTGTTAACCTAGTCCATTGCAACATCACTTACTCTTGGGGCATCTAAGTCAGAAAGGAAATTCACTATGATAGTATTAGTTCAAGCTAAACAACTCTAGTTTACAACTTATCTCCTAATCACTATCTTGTGCAACTTCTATATAGAAATCTTCTAGATATGAGATCACCCTCTCACTTCTCACAATCATGACAATGACAATAACAAAAACAGAAGAGCACACTTCCAATTACAATACTCAGTTTTGCTTAAAAGTTTTTAACTGAGAATAATAACTTAACACACAATCAACTCGTTGCTTAGAAGCTCATGAGTGATGGACAAGTAACAATGAATAATCAGTCTACCTCAATGTATCAAAAGATATATGGGTGACATACAAAAATAAATAAAGCACCTAAAGTACTCTCAAAATCTTAAACTCATATTATATGCACCCACGGTTTTTCGATGTGAATGCTAGTTAATTTTAGTTTATCGAGTCCTTATAGATAGACTCTTGCAGTATGAGCTTGGACTCTTTAATCAAATTCAATCTTCTAATTTTAAATCAACTGCAAAATCTTTTACAAAAAATAGGAACAAATCTTCAAAGTTTCCTAAAAAGTCTCCAAGATTCTTTTTATGAAACCAAATCAAATATGCACAATTCCTAATAAAATCTTCTTGACCTGCGAAAATAAGTGAAATATATCCAAGGGGATCTCACAAAAACAAAACAAATATGTCAAGAAAATAATAGCAACACATGTTGTATAGTTGGCCAAGATGTCAAGACATTTGGCTCAATATTTGTCTGATATTCATGACAGTATAACCTGTCATGACAGTTGGTCAAGATGTCATGACATCTTGCTCAACATCAGGTTGTGATATATGTTTTTCAAATACAACATGTTTTACTAAAATTGTTGCCAATCATAAAATCACAGACCTAACAATCTCCCCCATTTGGTAAATTTTGGCTAAAATAACCTTAGCACAATTAAACTGGAGAAGAGGAATAAAACCACAAAGAACAAAACACAAGCTAAATAAAAAACATGTAAGCTTTGTACAAACTACCAATAGAAAACATCATAGATAAATGCAGCTACAGAGAGACCCAACTTCATTCACATCTCTTCTTCAAACTCCATATATCATATGTCAGGACATGTGGTGTGACATCACATCAACACATCCCAATAACAATTACAGCATAACACAATGCTCAACAACTTCAGACAGGTTTATTACTCCCCTTGTCACACGTAATCAATAATCCCCCTCAAGGGAACATCCAAACATGAATTGTCCAAGTTCACACATCAGAGGCACATGCAGCAAAAGATAAATAAGTCTCACAAATAGAAAACGGATGCACAGAGTTTTCCATAAAAACACTTCAGACAAGATGTCAGGACATCTGATATGACATCATGCACACATCAACATCAGCAGTATAAGCAAATTCCTTAATCACCAGCAATAAGCATGACATACAATCATGCTCCCCCTAAACAGTTGCACAGATAGTAGGCAACAACAAAGACTAGTCTCCCTAAACATTAGTACAGTCCTATCATAATGTTAATCAACATGTCAAGATATTTGACATGACATCAACATCAGGATAGACACTAACACTTTACTCCCCCTTTTTAGCCAAAAATTGACAAAAATAGAGTAAATATATAATAAAAATGTGAAGCACACATAAGCAAACAAGCATAATAAACAGATGGAAGCACAAATTTTGATGGAAACACGTAATTATCAGTTGGGCTTTAGGTGATCTTTCACCTCTTTTCCTTTGTCAAAGACTTTTTTGCACTCATTCCTCTTGTCACATGTTTTACGGGTGTTGACACTGAATTTCCTTGCCACAACCTTAGAACATGTCTCTTTCAAACCAGTCTTTACAAAGATCTTTTGTTCCACCCTTTGACAGGTTTAACACTAGCAATTAACTTAGGCATATCATGCCTCAGAACATAGAGGAAAGACAAAGTATTTGTTGCATTCCTTTATACTTGTAATTGCTATAACTCCTTAATAGTGCATGTTCATAGCTTACTTTTCATATTCTCAAATTGATTTGCATACAATCCTTTGTTGAGCATAACAGTCAGTTGTTTCTCATATTCCACATGTACCAGAATAACAACCTTGCCATCAATTGCACAATGTAACGTCATGACATAATGTTTGACATTATACTTCTTCAACATCTGCTTCATCCATATTAGTTGAGAGCAACTATTTCTTGTTTTCCCATGTTCAACTTTAGCTATCAACCAAGAAGCATATATTTGTTTCTTATTGGAACAAAAAATCAGATTGTTTCTCAAGGTAAAACATCCATTAGCATTATTGTATCATTTTGCATTGTAAAATTCCTTTATCATGAAGTTTATGTTGTGAGAATATAACACACCATAAACACTTGTACCAATGATACGTTTAAGAATTTGTTTTTCTTGATTGTCATGTAATGAGTTCCTTAGATTGTTCTATCTAAATTTTCTCAGAGAGACCTTCAATGCTTGTGAACTCACGACTTACTTCTTTTTTTGACTTCTCAGTCTGCACAAAAGATGTTCCAACATTGTCTTCAACATCCCTCTCCTTTTCAATGATTAAATCATCAATCACCACACTTGTGGATTCCATTGTAACTTTAATTATGGAGCTAAAAACTCTATAGGACCTGCTGTTTAAAAAGTAACCCAAAAATATCACTTCCTCACTTATAGGATCCATCTTATTCTTCTAATCTTTGTTAGTCAAGACATAACATTTACTTCCAAAAGCATGAAAGTATTTGATTGTAGGCTTCCTTCTTTTCCATAACTCATAGAAAGTGGCTGAAAAGCCTTCCTTCAAAGTGACCCTATTATGAGTATAATATGCAGTATTCATGGCTTCA